CCTGGCTTTGAATCGGTGCAGCTCCAGCTGTTGTGGCCAATTGGGGAGTGAACCATTGGATGGAAGATCTCTCTGTCTCTGCCTGTAACTCTTTCTGTGTGTAACTCTTTCAAGTAAAATAAATAAATCCTTAAAAAAGGTGAAATTTCTATTTTTAAACATATGAAATGAGCTAATGTGGTGCTTAGAAATTTAGAGCTATGAATAATTTATATTATGAAAAGTAAAAATTAACTCAGAATTTCTTTTTTTTAAAACATTTATTTATTTATTTATTTGAAAGGCAGAGTTACAGAGACAGAGAGATCTTCCATTTGCTGATTTACTTCCCAAATGGCTGCAATGGCTGAAGCTGGGCTGATCTGAAGCCAGGAGCCAGAAGCTTCTTCTAAGTCTTCCACATGGGTACAGGGATCCAAGCTTTCCCAGACCATTAGCAACGAGCTGGATTGGAAGTGGAGCAACTGGGACACAAACCAGCACCCATATGGGATGCCAGTATTGCAAGCAGAGGCTTAATCTGTTACAATAAGCCCCAAGAATTCCTTTAAATGGCATAAAAACATGAATAACTCCATTGAAAGCAGAGGGGGAGAATTATAAAGAGAAGAAAATGTCTGATAAAGGAAAAATATAAGTAGAACACATTACAATGTTCAATGGTGGTTCTTTGAAAATATCAATAAAATGAAAAAATGTCAGATCCTGAATATATTTTGCTGATAAGGATGATAGGCTTTTTCCAGTAGATTTGATGACAGATGTGAAAACCTGTGCTTTGGGTGGAGTGAGTATTTTTTGTGAGGTGGGAGGGGAGGGGAGCAGATGTTTAGTTTTGGTTGTGTTAATTTGAGGTGTGTATTGCTTCAAGTAGAGCAGTCAAGTAGACAAAGGATACACAAGTTTGGACTTGTAGAGAGAAATCTGGGCTACATATAAAAATTCGTGAGTTTATGGCATATAATTGATATTTAAAATCATGAAATTAAATGTGGTCACCAAAGGTGTGGCGGAGATAATGAAGGGAGGAAAATCTATTAGCTGGTCTGGGAGAAGAGGTTGACCTCACAAACCATGAGAAGGAGCCGCTGAAGAGATCACACACAAACCAAGGGGTGTTGAGTACCAGATGAGGGAGTGATTAGCTATATTAGATGCTACTGGTATATCAAACAAAACGTATACAGACAACGGTGAGTGAGACTTGATCCTTGACTTTAGCACTACTGGGATCATTGATGGCCTTTACAGTAGATGGGAGAGGCAGAAAAAGCTGCTGAGATTCCATTTAAGAGAGAGTAGATGGAAGGAAGTTGTAGACAGTGGTTACAGACTGTTCTTGTAAGTTTTTTTGCTAATGAGAGCAAAGAAAGGAGCAGAAGCTGCTGAGAAAGTTCAGTCAAAAGTTTATTGTGGGGTTGGCACTGTGACATAGAAGGTTAATCCTCCGCTTGCAGTGTCCACACCTCATATGGGCACCAGTTCCAGTCCCAGCTGCTCCACTTCCAATCCAGTCCCCCACTAATACACCTGGGAAAGCCATGGAAGATGGCCCAAGTACTTGAGTCCCTGCATTCACATGGGAGACCCAGAAGAATCTCCTGGCTCCTGGCTCCTTGCTTCAGCCTGGCTCAGCTCTGGCCATTGCAGCCATTTGTGAATCAGTGGATGGAAGATCTCTCCCTGTCACCTTCTCTCTTTATCTCTGCCTTTCAAATAAATAAATAAATAAATAAATAAATCTTTTAAAAAAAGTTTATTGTTTTCATTTGTGTTACGTAGGAAGAGATAACAATGTATGTATGTTTTTGGACCATATGTGCGTTGATAAATATTCAGTAGAAAATAAAATACCAGTGTTATAAAAATGCGGAATATGAAAGATGGATAAAATTGCCTGAGGTATACTATTCAGTGGACATAGTGGAATGAGATTCAGTGAAAAATGGATAGAAAATAATCTATTGGAAACAGAGAGAAGGATGGCTGATAATGTAATAGTGGTGAATTTCTGTGAAGTTCTTTTCTAATTTTGGAATGTAGTCTAGCATCTTTTAAAAAATTAATTAGTTAATTAATTTTGTGTATATGAGCACAATTGACATTTTGAGATGTGATTATTGTTTACAGCCCTTGTCTATACTCTTGAGGAACAGTGGTTTTTCTACTTACTACTTGTTGAATTCTTTACTTAGTGGAAAGTTAAGCTTGTGATTATAAAACAAACTGGAAGTTTGCTATTGTAAAAATTAAAAGAAAAATTAAGAAAGGAGGGAGAAGGGAAGTTGGCAGCATGGATGGGCAGGGGGGTAGGGCAGGAAGTGTCACTATGCTCTTAAATCTGCATATATGAAATACATGAATTTTGTTCACTTTATACAAATAAAAATAATTAAAGATTTATTTATTTTGAAAGAGTTACAGTGAGAGAGAGGGACACTCACACCCCCCCCCACCTCCCCCCTCCCTCCCCCCAGATCTTTCATCTGGTGGTTCACTCTCCAGATGACTGCAATGGCTAGGACTGAGCCAGGCTGAATCCAGGAGCCAGGAGCTTCATTCAGGTCTCCCATGTGGGTGATAGGGGCCTACACACTTAGGCCACCTTCCACTGCTTTTCCCAGGCCATGAGCAGAGAGTTGGATAGGAAGTGGAGTAGCTAGGATGCATATTGGCTCCCTTATAAGATGCTGGTGTCGGAGGTGGTTGCTTTACCTGCAATACCACAACACTGGACCCAGTCTTGCATCTTTTAACCAGGTTGAGAAGGGGTTGAATGTATTTTCTCACAGTATCATAGGATTCTAGTAACCTTATGTTAAGTCTCAGTATTTTTACTTTGTGATGAAATAAAGGCATCACATATCTAAAATGTGTTTTTGATTCTCTTTGACACCATAATACCAAGGATTCAACTTCAAAAATAGATGACAAAAACTCACATGAATTGTATGCTTTCTTATGTAAATGTGCTTTAATATAATCCCACAAAAAGTTCTGAGGGAAAATTATGCCTGATTGAGGAAGTATGACTTCTTAGCGTATTGAGAAATTTGTTACTGCTCTTATAGCTGGAGAGGTCAAAATAGAACCAGAGAACTAATTTTATGTATTTTGTTTTGAGAGTTCACTTCTATCACTAGGAGCTAGCAAAGCCTGACAAAGGACAGTCATTGTTGGTAGATGGCCGAGATCCAGGGACTCTTGAATGTTGAAAACACCTTCTAAGGGAGTGAGGAGGGGACTTCTTGCTCCTGTTGGGTGAGTAGAATTTCCCAGAGAAGAGGGACAGAGACTTCTGACTGGGGTTTTGCACATGGATGATAGAAATAGGAGAAATTTGGGTTAAAGAAGAGATGGAAGAAGAGCATTGTTGCATCATCCAGGACCAAGCCCCACACCTAGGAGAGTTGGCTCTCCAGCTATGTGGCTAGATTACTCTTAGATTAGGAGCTCAAATACTGATAGTTTGGATTTCCCTGAGCCAGGAACCTAATGGAGTCATATTTCATGTAGTGTCTGAGAGAACCATAAGGGAGATAATTCATCATAAAGACATTCAGAAGCATAGAGTCTTCCTAAATAGCAGATCCTTTAGGTTGTCACTGAACAAGCTCAAGTAGTCCTTGGTGTAGGAAAAATTTGACCAAGAGAGGCACATCCTGAAATCTCTAAGGCTGGATCCCTTTCAATGTATTTTATAGAAATCCATCCACGAACACCTACAATTGGCATCACCTTTCTTTTCTGTACAACGGGGTAGATGTAAATGTGCTTTAACATGATCCTACAATAGGGTTGCAGGACCACCAACCCAGAAGGTAGGAAGGGAGACAGCACAGAAAGGAAAAAATGTTCTAACAAGAGCCCAGGACTGGGGAAATACTACATTAAAGCAGATTAATGCTTGAGCTGTGGGTTTGTGGGGGAACAAAAGGAAACTCAAAGCCAGGCTCAGACTGCAGGTGCAGGGTTATCTGGGGTGTGATTGTAGTTCATGTTGGGAGGGCTTTCTTTTTATATTTTTAAAATTTATTTGACAGGCAGAATTATAGACGAGAGAGACAGAGAGAAAGGTTTTCCTTCCCTTGGTTCACTACCCAAATGGCCGCTATGGCCGACGCTGCGCTGATCTGAAGCCAGGAGCCAGGTGCTTCTTCCTGGTCTCCCATGTGGGTACAGGGCCCAAGCACTTGGGCCATCCTCCACTGTACTCCCGGGCTACTGCAGAGAGCTGGACTGGAAGTGGAGCAACCAGGACTAGAACCCGACGCCCATATGGGATGCTGGCACCGCAGGCGGAGGATTAACCAAGTGAGCCACAGTGCCGGCCCCGGGAGAGCTTTCTTAAAAGGCAGCAAGATGTTCATATCTGGTCTCATCATAAACATAGACACATATAATCACCATCATTGCCACTTCCACTATCAAATTCAACATTTCTTAGAGAGTGTGAGTTTTGTGAACCCCTAAGCAAAAAACTGATTTCCACAGGGCAAATTTCTGATCACACATTTAGTGTTCACTACTCTTTAACCCCACTAGACATATTTCTCTCTGTGTAACACACAAACACAGGCACACAATAGTCCACCAGCTGAAAGAGCAGATACCAAAATGCTGTTGACAAACATATATGGAGTACAGGAAGAACAGAGGAGAGACCCAGCCTCAGTTGTCACTCAGCCATAAACCATTATAGAAAAACTGGGAAGTGACCAGGTATTTTCAGAGCTCTCAGGTGTTTTTAGGGAGGGCTAAAACACAGATTCTGGTCAATCTGAGAACAGACTTCATGTGTCTGCAACATCTCACTGCTGAACCTGATAAAACAGAGACCCTACTCGAGAAAAATCAACTTTCAATGTCAGTGAGGTTCAGATTTGTTTAAAAACCATACGATTGAAAGAGAGGCCTTGACTTCACCTCCTGGGACCATTCCCCAGAGTCTGGGATCTAATCTCGTATCTTGGCTGGTGTCAACAAGTGAGACTGCTTACCTTGATCATCTGCCAAGATGCCTAGGAGGAGAAAAGCAACTCCCTGGAGGAAATACAGTCCATTCATGCTCATTCGGATCCTCATTCTTCAAGCCACAGCCTTAGTTTCCTGAAATGGTACAAGGAGCCCTTCTACACTTAATGGGGGCTTCTACAGCAGGAAGAGGGTTATATAGCCTCATCCCCTGACCTCGCCATCTTCCATGAGCCAATAGAAACACTGCTTAACATCTTCCCTGCCATCAGAGGCGATATATGGGGAAACTTTCTGAAGTTAAAGCCAATTAGATGCTGAATCTTAAATAACTCCTTATATAGGAAAGGAGGAAAAAAAAAAACATGTGTTATTCTTCTCTCCTCTCCACTGCCCTGCCTTGTCTTAATGGCTGGTTCAGCTCAGCTAGCAATGTCAATCAGATGCACTGGTTTTTCTGGGTCAGTTTCAGTACCCCATAGTCCCACGAAAAGTTGATATTTGTGACACAAATGGCCCATATGTTGTAGCTGCAAAGATTCAAAAAAAAACCTAACAGTAGGACAAAAAAGGTGAGTAGGAGATTGAGACTGGAAAGTTGAAAAATTCTCAGCTGAGTGAGAAATGGTGAGACTAGGTACGAAGAGGATGTGATTGTTGGGCTCATAGGGTGAGCTTCCCTCTCCTTTCATTTCGAGGTGATGGGTGAAGCTTCAGGAAGGTCCTGGACTCTCTTGGTGATAAGTCTGAAGTAATGAAGTCTGTCTTTTGCTTCCTTCCTTCACATCTTAGGGGAAGTTTTGTTCCAGAGAGTGTCAGTACAGATACTTCATCCAAGAATAACTCACGCTTCCCTGGGACACGGTGGGGCCACACATTACAAAGTATCACAGAGTAGTTTCCATTATACAGTGAAGCAGCAGGCTGTGAACAGCAGGTTAGTCTCTTTTATAATTGTTTTTGCATTTAAAATTTTTTTTCTTTAATTTTAACTTTCACACATAAAGGAAAACTACAGAATTTTTATCTTTCTATATCTGGTTCATTTCAGTCAACACAATGTCCTCTAGTTCCAACCACCTTGATGCAAATGATGGAATTTCCTTCTTTTTATAGCTGAATAATATTAAATATATAAATATATAATATACGAATATATCAATATTCAATAATAATATTGAATATAATATTGAATATGAGAATATATATGCCACATTTTCTTTATCCATTTATCTGATGATAGATACCTTGATTGATTCTATATTTTGGTAATTGTGAACAGTGGTGCTATAAACACGGTGGTGTAGGTATCTCTTTGATACAATACGTTCATGTCTTTTGGGTATATACCCAGTAGTGGGATTGCTAGATCATATGGCAAGTCTATTTCTGGTTTTTAGATAAATCTCCATATTGTTTTCCACGGTGGTTGCACTAATTTATATCCCAGCAACAGTGTCTAAGAACTCTTCTTCTTCTCATCCTTGCCAGCATTTGTGGCTGTATGTCTTTTGGTTATATGTAGCACATTTTCTTTAGCCATTCATTAATTGATAAACATTTAGATTGCTTCCATTTCTTGGCTATTGTGAATGTTGCTGCACTAAACGTGGAAGTACAGATATCTCTTTAGCTGAGTGATTTCATTTCCCTTGGATATATACCCAGTAGTGTGATCACTGGATCATATGATAGTTATATTTTTAGATTTTTGAGAAACCTCTATACTGTTTCCCACAGCATTGTACTAACTTATGTTCCCACCAACAGTGTGCAAGTGCTCCTTTTGTCCACATCCTTGCCAACTCTTGGTATCTTTTGTATTTCACTAATGATTAATGACGCTGAATATCTTTTCAGGTACTTGTTGGTCCTTTATGTCATTATAAAAAGATTTACTTATTTATATGAAAGACAGAGTTACACACTCGCACACACACACAGAGAGAGAGAGAGAGAGAGAGGTGAGAGAGAGAGAGAGAGAGATCTTATATCTGCTGATTCACTCCCCAAATGACTGCAACTGCCAGGACTGGGCTGGAGCTGGGCCAGGAAAAAAGTTGGGAGCTAGGAGATTCATCAGGGTCTCCCCAGTGGGTGGCAGGATCCCAAGTAATTGGGCAATTTTTCAGTGTTTTTCCATGTGCATTAGCATAGAGCTGGATTGTAATTGGAGCATCTGGGACTCAAGCCGGTGCTCAAATGGGATGCCAGTGTTGCAGGCAGTAGTTTAGCTTATTGTACCACATGCTGGGCTCCATTTATGTCTTCTTTTAAGAAATATCTAGGTGTGGTTAGATGTACTGCTTATTTTTAATTGGCTTTTTTTTTTTTTTTTGCTATGGAGTTTTAACTTGCTTTAAATTAATTTTGTAGTAAAAAGCATTATTTATCAATACAAAACTTTGTTTGAAGTTGAACTTTCCCCTCAGGTTTATGCCATTCTTTTTTTTGCTTTTGTTTTTTAAAAATTTTATTTAAGTTATACAAGTTTCCTATATTCCATATATACAGATTTAGGAACACAGTGACACTTCTCCCCTACCCCGCCTCCTGCCCACGCTCCAATCCTTCCTCCCCCTCCCTCTTGCATTCCCCCTCTTAATTTTTTTTTTGACAAGCAGGGTTAGACAGTGAGAGAGAGAGAGAGAGACACAGAGAGAAAGGTCTTACTTTGCCGTTGGTTTAACCCCCAAATGGCTGCCACGGCTGGCGCGCTGTGGCCGGCGCGCTGCGCTGATCCGAAGCCAGGAGCCAGGTGCTTCCTCCTGGTTTCCCATGTGGGTGCAGGGCCCAAGGACTTGGGCCGTCCTCCACTGCCTTTCCGGGCCACAGCAGAGAGCTGGACTGGAAGAGGGGCAACTGAGACAGAATGTGGTGCCCCGACCGGGACTAGAACCCCGGGGCGCTGGGCCCCCCTCTTAATTTTTACAAAGATCTATTTTCAGTACACTTAATGTAGTAGTTAACCCTACTCTAAGTAAAGGAATTCAACAAATAGTATGAAGAGAAAGAAAAAAAAAACACACTCTTCCTCTATGGAGAGGAAGGCTATAAACAACCATCTAATCTCAAAATGTCTGTTTCACTCCAATACGTTACATTTCAGGTACTGTTAGTTATCTTGGATCAGGGAAAAGACAGGATATTTGTATTTTGGGGACTGGCTTATTCCACTAAGTATAATGGTTTCTAGTTGCATCCATCATTTTGCGAAAGACAGGGTTTCATTTTTAACACCTGAGTAGTACTCCATAGTGTATATATACAATAATTTCTTTATCTATTCAGCAGTTGTTGGACATCTGGAGTGATTCCATATCTTAGCTATTGTGAATTATGCTGCGATGAACATGAGGGTATAGACAACTCTTTCAGATGTGGATTTCCTTTGGTACGGGTAAATTCCCAGGAGTGGGCTGGCTGGGTCCTATGGTAGGTCTATATTTGTATTTCTGAAGTATCTCCATACTGTCTTCCACAGTGTATGTCATTCATTTTTAACTGACATGCAAAAATCGAATGTTACTTATGGGGTACCATGTGATGCTTTAATACATGTATGCAAATTTCCTTCTTTTCACTGCTTCAGCAGCATATGAAACATTTTATATGCATTTTTAAAAGATTTATTTATTTATTTGAAAGTCAGAGTTACACAGAGAGAGAAGGAGAGGCAGAGAGAGAGAGAGGTCTTCCATCTGCTTGTTCACTCCCCAATTGGCCGCAACGGCCGGAGCTGTGCAGATCGGGAGCCAGGAGTCAGGAGCTTCTTCCAGGTCTCCCACGTGGGTGCAGGGGCCCATGGACTTGGGTCATCTTCTACTGCTTTCCCAGGCCATAACAGAGAGCTGGATCAGAAGTGGAGATGCCGGGACTCTAACCAGTGCTCATAAGGGATCCCGGCAGCACTGGCGGTGGCTTTACCCATTATGCCACAGTGCTGGCCCCTTTATATGCATTTTAAAATTCAGTTCAATGTGTTTTAAAATTCAATTAAATATATTTTAAACTTTTCCTTGAAACTTCTTTGATTTATAGATTATTTCAAAGTGTGTTGTTTTATAGGGGAATCAAAAGAATTTATTAGAAGAAATTATCATAACTCAAGGGAGCTTGGCAAAGTTGCAGGATATAAAATCAACACACAAAAATCAATAGCGTTTGTATACACAAACAATGTCATTGCTGAGAAAGAACTTGTAAGATCAGACCCATTCACAAATTCTACAAGAATATTTAAAAATCTCAGGTTAAATTTAACCAAGGACTTTAAAGATTTCTATAATGAAAATTACAAAACACTTAGGAAAGAAATAGAAGACACAAAATAAAAGGAATGATCTTCCACTTTCTTTTTTTTTTAGAAAACTTTTATTTAATAAATATAAATTTCATAGGTACAGCTTCTGGAATATAGCAGTTCTTCTTCCCATACCTACCCTCCCACCCCCACTCACATCCCATCTCCTACTCCCTCTCTCATTCTATTCTTCACTAAGATTCATTTTTAATTATCTTTATATATAGAAGATCAACTCTATGCTAAGTAAAGATTTCAACAGTTTGCACCCATACAGACACACAAAGTATAAAGTACTGTTTGAAGACAAGTTTTATCATCAGTTATAGTACAACTCATTGAGGACAGAGGTCCTACACGTGGAGCAAGTACACAGTGACTCCTATTGTTGATTTAACAATTGACACAATTTATGATGTCGGTGATGACCTAAGGCTCTTGTCATGAACTGCTAAAGCTATGGAACCCTTCTGAGTCCACAAACTCTGACCTTATTTAGACAGGGCCATAATCAAAGTGGAAATTCTCTCCTTCCTTCAAAGAAAGGTACCTCCTTCTTTGATGGTCCCTTCTTTCCATTGGGCTCTCACTTACAGACTTCCATGAATTGGATGAATTAATATAATCAAAATGCAATTTACAGATTCATTTTATACCAATCAAAATACCAAAGGTGTACTCAGATCTCGAAAAGTTGATCCTAAAATTCGTATGGAATCATGAGAGATCCAAATAGCTAAAGAAACCCTTAACAATAAAAATAAAGCTGGAAGCATCACAACCCCATATTTCAAGACATATTGCAGGG